TCTTTCCTTAGACTGCTGCCCCCGTGATAAGCGGAGGAAAATGGATGGATGGATGCTTAATTTATATTACCCTAAATAGAGTAACCTGAGATTTGCACTGAGCAACACCTTATGTTACTACACTCTTTTGCTGCTAAAATGCTGCTGACCTGAGTAGGTCCCATACATTCTTCTTTATTTGTTCATATTTTTATATTGACTTATACAATTGTGTGTTATATAAATAATGTGTCTCTCTTTTAAGTCGAGAGCTGTTGGAAAAAATTTGCTGTGCTATGCATAATGACAACAAAGATTCTGGACTTGACTTGATATGCTAATTTTATTAAAAACCACCCTGCCACTGTTTTTTTGTCAATGTGTTGAGTTTAATATTTTTATTTTAAAATAAAGGATTAAAAGGTAATTGGTCCAAGTTTGGTGTAATTCAAAGTTATGACCTGAAAATAACCCATTCATAAGTCCTTAAGCATGATATGATGATATGCTAATTTATCCATCAATCAACCCAAAACATGGAGAACTGAATTAGCCACTTGTAAAGTAGTTTTAAAGTACACATTACAAAGTAATTCTGACACTTTAAGGGTTTTTCTAATTTCTGTCAAAGTTTTAAGCAGGAGAAAAACACTGATCTGTTACAGATTTGACTCGTACCTTTCACACTTTGTTCATAAAACAACAAACATAAGCAACAGACACAAAATGAAGCTTTAAAAGAGTATGCACAGTAAAACCTAAAATATCTCTTACAGAAGAGTTATAGGATCAGCACCAGAGTTTTTAAAGGTGAAAACAAAGAATAGCAAGATCATGTCATCATATGGGCAGAGAAAAGGCCTTCAAAACGAAAATGAAGAAGTGTTTAATGCTTTCTGGAGATAAACATAAGGGAAAAGGTCTTAGCTTCATTGTTCTGAACACATCCCGTAACAAGCTGTGTGAAAGGTTTCAAAGTTCATCTTTAAACATGGATCACTAAAAACCTCCTGCAGGTTTTCTGATCGGAAAGAATCCTCCTCTCTCCTCCGCTAACTCTCCATAGAGATGAGGTGCACATGGTGGCTGACAGACTGCTCCATGGAGCTTTTGAAGGCCTGGTAGGTGGAGATGACAGGCAGGAGGAGGTGTTTGGAGCTGGGCTCACTCTGAGGGAACATCCCCCCGTCCCTCCACTCCTCTGACCCAGGTCTGTCCATCTCCCTCTCTCCACCCTCCTCCTGCTGCTGCTCGACTCTTGGTGGGGAGGAGCTGATGGGGTGGAGGAAGGAGATGGAGGGAGGAGGGAGGAGGCCGGCTGCTGGGAGCTCCTCAGCCCCTGTCGCGAAGCGAAGGAGGTCCTGGAGGGAGATGGAGGTCCGCCCAACTTTAGGAGAGGAAACAGGAGAGCAGGAAATAAGGACAGGACAATTTTAGACTGATAAGAGCCTGTTATCAGGAAGTAGTCAGAGCACATTCGTGAAACCTGCTGTACCTTCACACTCGAGCAGGAAGTGTCTCCAGAAGGTGACAACGGGCGTCTCTCTGTTCACTCTCTCCTCCTGCTCAGAGAAGTTGATGACGAAGAGTCGACCAATCGTCTGAGCCGTGAGACAATCTGCTGCTTCACAGAAAACGCTATAGAAGGCGGACGGGAAGAGCTGCACCTGGAGCAGATCACACTGCATTCAGTTTTACATATTTTAGTTTTCAAGAATTTTAATTGTTTGTGTTTACCAATATGTGATCTGGCAACACACTGTGTGGGTCAGAATAACACGTGCAGCAGCACCAGTGCAGCGGTGTGACTCACTGCTGTGTGTTGACCAGTGGTGGACAACAGTGGAAGTCTACAGCACAGACCAATAAGCTAAACCAGGCTCTGGATTCACACATTATAACATAAACTTTACAAAATCACTGGCCTCATCCTTTAATACAGGAAAAAAGCAAACGCAAGTCACCTGATCAAAGACACCCAGAGTCTGCAGGCCTTCCCGAAACCTGGAGGACAAATACATAATAAGGTCAGGGCCGTGTCCTGAAGTCACACAAAACTGTTGTATCAGAGCTACTGACATCACAAAGGGATCAGATTTAGACCAGAGCAGAAGCGAGTGGCTTTTTTTAACACAGAGGGCGCGTCGCCCTACGTCTCCCCCAGATTCACTCCGGTACAGCTCACACCACGAGCATGACACCTGCCCAAGCCCGACCCAAAATGCACCTGTTTCTCGCACAGCCATCCAATACTTTTCAGTCAAAAAATCAGCCAGTGCGAGTTCAAAAACAGAGTCCCTAAAGTACTTTGAAAAGGAAACTGAAAGGTCACGTTGGTGTACTGTATACTTTTATTTAATTGGGCCCATTGACATGTTGGAGTTTACATATGACTTTCTGTGTTATATTCCTACACAGCCCAAAGCGGGAGCAAAGCGAGTGAACAGCTCTGTGAGCCAGGAGAGGAAATTCCCACCGCTTCACACAGCTCATATGCTCTGATTTAGACTGTGTCTGAACACAGGTGAAAGCAGAAAGAAACTGGCTTTGGGGCAAATAAAAGTTCAGGATCATTTGAGCAGAGTAATATTTCGCTTTGTGTGTGTCCCTTTCATTCAGAAAATGGGCGTGGAGCTTTCTAAAATGCTCCAGATGTGTTAGATGTGTATTTTCACCCTGGCTCACAGCAGCACACTGGCCACAAGGAGCTACAGCAGTAAAACAGGCCTAATTAAACTGAATGATGGCTGAATTTGGTTGCAGGGTCCTGGTACACGCTGCCTCACTTTGACTTATTTTTAATTCTACTGTAGAAAACACAGTGTAGATTGAATTATGGAACCGTCTCTGTTCAAATGTCTAAATTTAAAGCATCAGTAAAAACACTCCACTGTCGCTTCACCTCTGCAGAGGCAGCTGCATCCTGGTGATCATTGTGAAGCCGACCACATCCTCCACCAGGGTGTCCCTGTCCTCCAGGCTGCTCACTGGTCGGTTGCAGCCGGCCAGCTCCAGGTACTCCCAGCTCGCCATCATGGCTTCTCTCAGGCTGTCTAAAGATTTGGCCTCTGCAATCTGAAAACAGCCAATCAATCATTCTACCTTTGATTACAAAGAGCCTTTAAGGCTTGTATCAGAGGCTGACAGGTTTATGTTGTAATAACTACGATCAGGCCAACTCACCTGGCTGACTTGGCGGGTGAGGTGTGTGTCGGGAGTCATGTGGGCGAAGGTGAGCGGGCAGTTGGGCGGGTAGTTGAAGAGACACTGGTAGAGAGCGTGAGAGAAGAAGCCAAGACGTGGACCACCGTGGACCAGAGACAGTGCCAGCAGGCAGCCCACATCAAAGTACAGGTCCTCACGCAGAGCTGAGTGCACAACATTTAACAATTAGATTGACAAGCATGTGCAGCTGGCATTGGGTTTAACATGATGAGCAAACAAAACAAACTCAGCAAAGATAAATGTGCTGGTACTTCAGTTCTAGCAACAGAGACGGTAAATATAAAGAGTGATGAACCAGCCCTGACTGCATAAATGTGCAAAAAACCAAGAGAAACAACGGCGAGGTTTACGAAGGCACACGGCATTCACCAAAGGAAAAACACCAGGCCTTTTATTAGTAGTAGCATGATACTTCACTAAGTCGTAATTATAAGTCCTCCATTTTTTCTTTGGTCAGTGTAACGTGCTCCCTTCCAGGCGTTAAGCAGACTCTGCTAATAATTATTTTATTAGCCATGTAAATAAGTTCCTGCACCCGACTCACTGAACTAAACCTTTCGTTCTCTAACTTTGTTTCTTGTTGATGTGACATGCAGTATTATTGTGCTGCATTTGGTCTTGGTAGATATGTGACCTTTGACCCTCTGTTCTTTCTCCCTGAAGCTTGTGGGAAAACGTATTCATTTCTTGTGGCGTTAGCAGCAGGAAGCACTGCTAGTGAAACTGTCTGATGGTGATTGTTACTGTGAAAAATTATTTAGGACAAATACATCCAATCAAAATGTGGACAAACTTCTATGTGTTCAGATTTAAATCTATCACTTTTCTAACCAGATGTTCCTCTTTCAATAATAGTTTCAGAATTTCCAGCTGTGTATAAATCTTAGACAATATTGCAAATTCATTCACCATAGAAGTAGCGTGTGTGTATAACTGCCCTGTTTCAGACTAATGTGCTGCTGTGCACACAGCAGAGCTCTGATTCAGAATAACAGTCAAACTGTTAAGGACAGCTTTAACTATTTTACAGTGGGTACAGAAAGTATTCAGACCCCCTTAAATGTTTCACTCTTTGTTATATTGCAGCCATATGCTAAAATCATTTAAGTTCATTTTTTTCCTCATTAATGTACACACAGCACCCCATATTGACAGAAAAACACAGAATTTTTGACATTTTTGCAGATTTATTAAAAAAGAAAAACTGAAATATCACATGGTCATAAGTATTCAGACCCTTTGCTGTGACACTCATATATTTAACTTAGGTGCTGTCCATTTCTGCTGATCATCCCTGAGATGGTTCTACACCTTCATTTGAGTCCAGCTGTGTTTGATTATACTGATTGAACGTGATTAGGAAAGCCACACACCTGTCTATATAAGACCCTACAGCTCACACTGCATGTCAGAGCAAATGAGAATCATGAGGTCAAAGGAACTGCCTGAAGAGCTCACAGACAGAATTGTGGCAAGGCACAGATCTGGCCAAGGTTACAAAAAAAATTTCTGCTGCACTTAAGGTTCCTAAGAGCACAGTGGCCTCCATAATCCTTAAATGGAAGACGTTTGGGACGACCAGAACCCTTCCTAGAGCTGGCCATCCGGCCAAACTGAGCTATCGGGGGAGAAGAGCCTTGGTGAGAGAGGTACAGAAGAACCCAAAGATGACTGTGGCTGAGCTCCAGAGATGCAGTCGGGAGATGGGAGAAAGTTGTAGAAAGTCAACCATCACTGCAGCCCCCCACCAGTCGGGGCTTTAGGGCAGAGTGGCCGGATCCCCAAATGCAGGTGTGAAAAACTTGTTGCATCATTCCCAAAAAGACTCATGGCTGTATTAGCTCAAAAGGGTGCTTCTACTAAATACTGAGCAAAGGGTCTGAATACTTATGACCATGTGATATTTCAGTTTTTCTTTTTTAATAAATCTGCAAAAATGTCAAACATTCTGTGTTTTTCTGTCAATATGGGGTGCTGTGTGTACATTAATGAGGAAAAAAATGAACTTAAATGATTTTAGCATATGGCTGCAATATAACAAAGAGTGAAACATTTAAGGGGGTCTGAATACTTTCCGTTCCCACTGTACACCAGCCAGACAAACAGAAAGCAGTTATTTGTCTGACTGTAGGATGAATCAAGTATAAACTGTTGATTTGTACCCTGGGAGTTGAGCGCCAGGTTTTTGAATCCCTGTGGACCCTCAAACACCACAGAGTCCTGGATCTGCTGCACCAGCAGCTTCAAGAAGTGTTGCCTGGCTGTGTCGCTGTCCCAGGGGATGCTGGGAAATGCAGTCTGCTGCTCGTCTTTGAACCTGGACAAAGATGACAGACAGATGATGATGTCAGCGAGGAGGCCAAACACAACAGGACTGCAGGAGCAAATCTGTCAATCATACTGAGCCTAGTTGTAAATATGGCTGAAAGGTGTCGACCACTAACCTGACAGACAGAGTGTGTGTGGGGTCGAAGTCGGACCTCCTGACCATGTCCAGGCCGGCTGACAGAGCCAGATTCCTGCTCACCTCCACCTGAACACTGAGGGGACGGAGCTGAAGGGCCAAAGCCTGCAGGAGCTCCTCAGGTGATCCTGATCCAACAGGTAATGATGGTCTGACACACAGAAGGAGAGACAGACCATCAATGACCAGTCCTGCATTCTGTCTGTTCCAGCTGATCATTTACATACCATCTCTGAGCAGAGAGCAAAAACATAATCAGACAAACCAAAGCACAAACAGCAGACAATCACAGACGTCATTAAATAACATCAGACAGGCCAGTGGGCAGAGACATTCTAGTTTTTGTTCTGGATACTCGCCTGATGTGTTTCTTTTGTCTCACCCTAAACACAAACAACATGTTACAGAAACATGTTGTTTCTATAACATAAACATGGATGATGAACCCTGGTGAGCAAACAAGTGACTGGTGTAAAGGCAGCCTCTCTGCAGCCGACAGGTGCGTTAGGTTTGTGTACCTCTTGCCGCTGATGGAGGGGTGGTTAGGAGAGAGGTGGCGTTTGGACAGCAGAGACCTCCTCTGAACCCCCTGAGGAGACGCAACCAGGGAGGCTGGACAAGACAGCAACACGTGGTTCAACAACAACAGTTTGTCTACAGGTGAACGAACACTTTCACAACATTAACTACACACACCCAAAGCATCTGTCAGTACAACAGAGTGGGTTCATACCAGAGAACACACATGTCTGGTTATTCACTAAACTCAATCACGAGGTGGCGTTTCTGTGGATTATTATAACGTTCATCATGCCTCAGCCTTGTCAGTTTGTCAGAGACAGAGAGGAGCAACAGCAGTTCAGTGTCTGACAGACATTCAAAGCTACCAACACCACAGAGGAGCTTCAGTGGGTTTTCAGAACAGGCTGACGTTACCTGTCGATCACCACAGCAGGTGATATGCATTTTATAAATACGTTATAGCCCACAGCTCAGTAAACCCACTGTGGAATCAGCAGAGGCATCGGTGGTCGTCAATCTACTCTTCAGTGTTACTGATAAACAATATGATCAGCTGCCAAAACCACAGTTTTATAAACATGGACTAGAACACAAACTCCAGCCAGTCAGACCTTTGCCATCAGTAGCCTGTGTGCAGTCGGTGCAGGCCCAGTTTCTGGTGTCCAGCTTCAGCTCTGAACACTTCCTGTGAGTCCCTCTGGAGCCACACAGCTGGCAGCAAATCACCTGAAACCACCTGAAGCAAACACAAAACTGCTGCACCTCCATGACAAACTACTGTTAGCTCCACCACAGTAGGACACTAGGCACAGTTCGGCAACATTGGAGATATACAGATATTTTGCTTTAGCCTTTATAGCAAAGTATTTATCTCATGGTTGGATTTTAAGAACATCGCCATCAGTGTGGTCAAATTCCATGATATGTCAGGTATTTCACTTAATGAATAAAAAAAAAAAGAAAACCAATACATGTGGACATTGTATATCTACTCAGACCAAGGTCGTACCCGATCTTGGCTGAGTACGTGCGTCCATTGCTGCAGAGGCAGGTGAGAGCATCACAGCGCTTGTAGACCTCCAGCAGCTCTGCATACGCGTTGGGCTCCAACTCCCACGAGGCATCTCTGCAGGAGGCCCAGACAGAGCAGGTGAGGAACAATAAAGCAAAATACTTGCCTTCCATCGTCTTCTAGCCCCAGTCTGAGACATTATGAGAACACGTGGCAGTGAACGCAGCCTGGACCAGTGAGCACGTTACCTCTCTGGGATGTATATTCCCATCCTCAGCATCTCCTCCTGGAAGTTCTCCTTGTTGTTGCAGAGAGTACATCTGAAGAAGAACAGCCCTGCACTGTGGGCCTGACGCTGACACACACACACACACACACACACACACACACACACACAAACAGGGACAAAGACAAATCAACATTCTTACACTTTGGTACACACCTGGAAATGCACCGTCAAAAAACCTAAATGCTTGTAAACAAATGACTGGAGGTGTGTTGGTGCAGCTCATCCAAATAAAAAACATACTGCGTACATTTGTTTGTTCTTAACCCCTGAAGAATCCAGCCATACGGGTTAGAGCTCAAAATTACTAGTGATGAATTTTAATAGGTTAAATGTTTAGTCTGGAAATTAAGAAAGACATAAGAATAGCTTTCTACTGATGAAGCCAAGGTATCTCCTTCAAAAGATTAAAAAAAGTGAAATGTCACATGATTTGGTTCAAAGTGATGTTATGAGTAGAGCAGCTAATCCTCACACCCAAATGTTCTGCATTTATTAACTGATAAAGAACACAAAGGCAGTTTTCAGTATAAAACTGCTGTTGTTACATTTCAAATAAGCATCAGGGCTGCAGCAGCAATTGTGCACCTTATTGATTAATCAACGATTCATTTTTTGATTGATGACTGAATTATTTTGTTTAATAATTTCCCTCAGCCCAGTGTGATGTTTTCAGATGTCTTTTTCTGACCAACAGTCCCAAAGGCTTTCAGCTTACTTTAAGACAAAGCAAGAGACTAAAACACTTATTCAGTTATGAAAATAGCTGCAGACTTTTCTGTCACTCGACTGATCATTGCAGCCGGACCATCCATCTCAGAGCTCATTAGGGCAGTGGCAGAGCTGCTGTGGATTATCCCAGACCTGCTGATGTTTATAATGTAACAGCCTGTCTACATGCCACCAGATACTGTATACAGACAGACTCTTTGTTGTAATTTAAGTAAACAGATCTCTTTATGTGAAATGTAATCAAATTACTACGTATATTAAAATGAACAATATGCAGTCGCATTACCTGTACACAGTCTCTGTGGAACCAGCTGGCGTGGCAGGACGGACACTTGAGGACGGAGTAGGACAGGACAGGCTCGATGGAGTCCAGACAGACGGAGCAGGACTGAGGCAGGCTGAAGTCAGAGCTCACGGACAGAGACTGAGTGGGACTGTGGTCCAGGCAGTATGACCTGGACATAAACACATCCACCTTCTCACACTCTTACTGTGTTTACACCCAGTGGTCAGTTTATTAGGAACCCGTCTCAGACTAAGTCAGTCTAATCCAATAGTCCTGCAGTAAAACCTCCTTCATGAAGGTGATGGTGTTCAGCTTGTGCTCAGACTGCAGGCTGCAGTTGTGCTGCTGCTGTTGTAGGTTTTGATTTACTGACATCATTTTGTCAGAGATCGAACAACAAATTCTTGGACTTGTGCTCATCGTTGTGTGTGGTCATAACTGCACTGAATTATACACAGAGCTGTTTCTGGTATTGAGTTGACCCTCGGTAATATAAGTGGGGTGGAGTAACAGTGTGTGAACAGCAACTGTTACAATTCAAAAATGCATTTTTACACAGTTCAATATCAAGGTCCCACTTTGTCTTCTAAAGATTCACTTGAACAAATGATGCATTCTTCATGTATGTATGTAATGTATGGTGCAAAATGACAACGATGATGCATACATGACCAAAATTATACTTTACTGCCCTTTGAAGAGTAAACTACTGAGCGTTTATGTAAGAATGAATGAGTGATTTCTGACAGAGGCTTCGTCTTTACCTATCGGGGAGGTCAGAAGTCAGTATCCCAATTCAACATCAACTTTGAAAGAGTCACTCTCAGACACTTTGAACGTTTGAACTGCAGCATGTAACGTGGGCTCAGCACTCACGGGAAGAGTCCGGTAAACTGGAAGATAAACTCCTGTTTTCTCCCGCAGGGGAAGTGGACCATCTTTCTACAGCTTCTGATGCTACAACCGACACAGGCGCCCTTCTTCTTACAGCTGTAACACGTCTGCAACGAACACAGTAAACTCATGGTTAACACACAGTAAGCAAAGGGAGACAACAGACAGAGCACAGCCAGTGAAAGATTTACCTAATCAGCCTTGCTCCATAATTTCTATGTCCTGTGTTTAAGATAAAAACCATCTCTCACCAGTCGCGCTGACCGGCGGATCTCCTGTTTGATGTCATCCACCAAGAAACCAAACACGCCCTCATCCTCCTCTCCACGCTGATAAACTCCAGAAGACGTCAGCTGAAATACAACACAGAGAAATCGGAACTTTTCAAAATGTCACAGACAAAAAAAAAAATCTCCAAAAATTCTCTTAAACCTTGAAAACCACCAATGACTTCAATGTTTTTTTGTAACTATACAGCAGAATAGCCACAGACTTACCAGACAGAAGTAGTGGACAGAGAATTTGTGTTCTTTGAGTGTCACTTTTTCCCCCAACATCGCTGGGTCGTCATCACTGAGTCGGCACAGAGCACAGCCTAAAAACAAACAAACTGTATTTTCTACCTTTGCCATTTATAAACAGAACAAACACAGCTGGGCAGTAACTCCACAAAACATGACCATCTTATCCACTATCAATCACATCTTTAGCTTGACACTGTTGTAAACATATACACTATACAAACTTGTCACATAGCTGCTCTGTATAGCATTCAACTAAACTGTGGAGCAGACATCGGCGACAACAGACAAATATGTAGCACAGTATCATGTGAAAAGCAGTCAGGTTCAGGTGTGTCGATCACTCACAGTCCTCCTGGATGCTGCCAGCATCTGTGACCGGTGACCTCCTCACCTTCTTCTTCATGTCGGTGTGATGAGACCCTGCAGGAGTAGGGTCAGGGGTCAAATCTATCAATACTTTGTTTTTATCATACTATTTCATCACTTATCACCAAAGCACATGGGTCAAAGAAAAGAAAATGTTGCTGCTAGGTCTACCTGTTGCCCCATCCTTACAAACCCAACACAGTCACAAAACTTTATTAAATAATCCAGGAGAGATCCCAAATTTTCCAAACGTACAAAATATGTCAAGCTGAATTCTGGTTAATCATGCAGACATGAAAAATGCAACAGAATGATATTAACCTTGGTATCTAGTTAGTTATTACTTGATAAATAAAGACTAAAATTTACACTTCTGTGCGACTTTTAACCAACAAATGTTTTCGACAAGATCATGTATGTCAATAAATGGAGTCAAGTGAACGAAATACACCTAAATTTACCGTCGAATATATGAACAAATCTTCATCAACACGTAGGTAACTACAAACAATATGTACATGACGTTATCTATAACGTTCCGATATGTCTAAAAAGTACAAAAAGTAAAACGTGCACACAAACACGGCTTCTTTGTAAAGTTAAAGCGGAATATCAGCACATTCCATCTTCAACAAACATAAACACGACAAAATATTATTCAGAAAATGTCCACAAGCCTACTTTACATTCGGATGGTGAGAAATCTCAATTTGCAGCCACTGTATTATCGTGTTGTTCTTGTGTTTAATACTACTACTTCTTTTTCATCTGTTGTTTCATGACGGTTGGCTTGTGTATAATTCTGATGAACTCCGTCGAGTTTAAAATTTCCCTCTTCAAAACAAAAGAGCCACGTTTCCGCTTCCGCTAACTCTTCTTCGTCGAGATTTTCAATGTGGCCTCCGCTTTGATCATTTAGCGCCACCTGGAGGTCGGCCGTTTAGTAGGCAATTCGCCATGTTGGTAAGTGGTGAGGAGGCAGCGGTTTTATTTACTACCCAGTTTTTAAAAATCTAGCATGTGAACACCACGTGGTCAAAATTAATGCAACATATTCTGAATTATAGGTTCTTAAATTTTTACACACTTTGGACACAGCTTCATAAAAGCTGCTATTAGGATGCAGATGTGGTTTTAAATGTAACTGGCTTAATGTAGAGATGGTCAGAATAATAACTTGAAAAGTGACACCTCCATATTAATCCTGTTCAGTGTCACAGAGTCGCCCTGGTTCAGTTTAACCGTGGACATTGTACTTGCTTGAAACTAAATTTCCTCTATTCTGTAAATAAAACATTATTTAAATGGAGTTGTATGCTGTTATTTATTATTATTACCATGGGCATTAGGCAACATAGAAACACAAGCTTTGCTGGCGTTGGTGGCTGCAGGTAGAGCCACATGTGGTTGAGTATCTTCCTCCATCTTACCCCTACCTGTGTTTAGCAGCTACTAAAAGACAACAGTGACCAAGACAGTACAATAATATAAACCCAGATCATTCAGATTTAAGGTGTTCACAGCATGAAGCCAAAACGACTGGATTCACCAGCCTTGGCAACGTAGCAATGCACCTTCATTCTGCTGTGTGGTGTGTTTACATGTTGTTATATGTATATTTTTGTTGTGGCTATTGTATAACATTTTAAAAAGACTTGTAGTCAGCATGATGAGGTTAATTAATTTATTATGAAGGTATTTTTAAAATGTCACACCATCAGTTTTCCAAGTGCCTTATGACTTTTTCTGTTGTTCACTGACATTAATTAATAATTTAATTGTTAGTATTACTTATGTCTTTGTTGTTTTGTATATGCACTTCTTTATAGTAGAAAATTGTTATTGTTTACTTGTGTCAGAAACCCTTTCTGCAACCCATGGCAACCCAACATGTGTCCTTCTTGATGACTTATAGCCCGACTGATCTATAAATAACAACACAATTTATTAACCATAATAAAGCCATTAATTACAGCTTGTGCATGATGAGAAAGTGGTCCCCAAGCCTTATACACTCATCAACCATTCTGTTTTCAGTATAAATATGCAAAAGATAAAACAAACCAACATAAAAACATACAATTTTGAAAAATAAACTACATTTCTAAAGGAGCTAACTATTATTATAGGCACATCTGATCAAAATGTTTTGAAGCAGCAGCAGCTAATGAACCTGAAATACCTATTTTATTTTTGATTTTCAAAATGAGCATTATGAAACAGTTTTTATAATCAGCTGGTGATTTTTTTACATTGTTAAAACCAACCAATTTCTTCTTTTTCACTGTACCGCCTTTATCATATTGGTTATAATAAAAACTAGAGAAATGCATTTCTTGTCGAAAATTTGTGTGGATGCTGATATGCTGAAGGATCGCCCTGAAAATGCCTGACATCAATTGCTGAAACAGCTGAAGGATGAGAAGAAATGGCTGAAGTTCTTTGTTGAAATAGCTGAAGGATGACATGCAGTGCTGAACAACTGTACATTTAGATACCACAACAGTATTTGTAGCTGAAAGTATGCAGTAGGAGTTATTAAGCGCCAAAAATGTTGAAAAAAAGCTGAATTTCTTAAAAAGTATGGTTATTAAAAAATAAATATAAACAGAAATGTCCTTAAAACGCTGAACATTTAGATACCACAATGGTGTTTGTAGCTGAAAGTATGCTGAAGTTATTAAGATGTTAACATTTTGCCCATTCATTTGAATGGGGCAAAATTTGATGAAAAAAGCTGAATATTTTAAAAAGTATACATTTTACAAACAAGAAAAATACAAGCAAGCATGTCCTTAAAAAGCTAAACATTTTGATATCTGAATGGCTTTTGTAGCTGAAGAAATTAGGTGACAAAAACAGATGGAAGAACCCAGAATAATAAAAAATAAATGCCAGGATAACGTGGATGCTTCACAGCATTCTGTATGACAAGGATTATGGTCAGACAATTCTACTGTATAAACTGTGTCCTAACCAAAAACACAATTCGCTAAAAATGGATGGAAGGTCCCAGAATAATAATGAATAAAGAACCGGAAAACATACAATACAATAAAAAATATTCTATTCTTATCATAAAACTATTTCTGACCAGCTTGATTGCAATGCTTTTTGTTTGCCACCAAAACCTTCGGTTGTTGGGGTAAATAGTATTTCCGAGCTCGGTGTGAGTCCCTGAACGCGACACGCTCAGTTCTCCATTTCAGTTGGCTCCGCTGTTTATTGCCTGCTCACCGTCCACTCTGACCTTTTCTCTCCCGATCACAAGAAATGAAAACGCCTTGATTCGACCTCAGACATCAGCGACACATACAGCACTTTACGTTTCAGCTGGTCCCAGAAGATCATTATTCATACCTGTGCTGACTGTTTCTGTGCCGAAAATCAACGGTGAGTGCTTCTTCCCCACAGGACCCCGCAACACTGGATCCCCTGGCGGGGTCTCTGGAGGTGTGTTTGCGAGGCTGAGCTGCGGCCTCTCGGCTCTCCCAGAACTCGAGCCCCGCGGTTCATGGTTGAAGTCTGAGGCCACGTATATAGTTAGCTTAATAAGTGGACATTAATGACAGACCTAAAGTACATAAACTGCTAACCTTTGTGTATATTGGTGAGACGCCTCAGTACCTCGAGTTTTAAATAGGTAAGAATAGCGTTTTTATGAATATTTATTTCAGCTAGCGTTTATGTTAGCTGATGTGGTGCTAACCGGCTAACAGGAGTCAGCTCTGCGGGATTCGTTGTTTTATATATTTATAAGCTAAATAACAAGCAGATATCTAACTTTATTTAAGATTGTTTGGTTCTTGGGTATATGTTTGTGATATTTTCTGGGAGTTAGTTTGTTTTTCGGGTCTGACAGCATCGTAGATATTAAGAAGAGCCACGTTAGCCAGTAAAGGTAACAGCTAACAGTTAACTTAATGCTTAAAAATGGCAGCAACTAAGTGTAATTGGCCTTCTAAACCCGGCTGGACAGCTGTCTGCGAGGCCTAACGTCGCCAGTAACATGTCCCTGCCATATCCTCTTATGTTTCTTTGTGTCCGATGAAATAAGAGGGCTTCTTTTGCCCCGGCCAGATGATGAAACCCGGTGTCATATACAGCTAACCTTGTCATATGGCTGAACCTTGTCGTTTCCCCAGGTTACTCATAACAACTCTGGCCGAGTTTTCCACTTTATATAAGTCACAAAACAAAGGAGGTTTGTTCCAGTAGTTCAGGGAAACATGGAAAATACTTGATTTCACTGTTTATACAACGCTGCGGCCGATTTTTTTGTTCTTATTGTTGACTAATGTATAACTTGATCAGGTTGCCCTAACAATCTCACCATTAGGTCCGCTCAGCAGCTGTTCGAGAGCTTTCTGTCATCACAGCAGATGGAGTTGCCCGGTTATTGTGAAACTGTAGGTCAGATGTGTAACAACACATCCACATTGGCTTAAAAGTAACACTTTTTGAACAACTTTATCCAGATATTATTTGTGGTTAAAAGGTTACATGTACTTCTTATGTCTGAGGTGTCACCTTGTTAATTTAGTTCACTTACCTGAAGAGAGAGATTTTACAGTGACCCAGTAAAGGAGGAAATCTTTACATTTAATCACTTGATTTGTTTACCAAACATTTTAGTTACTTTCTACTGTACCAAGCCTATAGTTTTTGTCTGTATGAGTGATAAATTAAAATATCCACCTCTCTCCCGATATTGTTAATTGTAAGGTTGAATCAGACCGAAATAATTAGCAAATTAATATTTAATAAATATAATCACTAGTTGCAGCCTTACACCTGATATTCCGTAACTTGAAAAGCTAAAACGAGTAGTTGATTTGTTAACTTACTAGTGAACTTGTCAACAGATTAAATGATTTGAGACATTTTTCGACCAAGAAAGCCTGACATTTGTTGTTGTTATTGTCATATATGGCAGAATATATTTGGTTCTCACTTTTGACTTGAGGAAGTTGTGATGGTCATTTTTCCTGTTTTCTTGCAGTTATAGTCCAAATGACTACTCCTGTCTCGGGAGAGGCACATCCTCAGTGCCCAGTTTTTGTAGCATACTGAAGTCTTAAATATCAGCTGAGTTTTGTCACTAAAACTGAGAACAATGAAACTTAAATGGATTAATTGTTGTTTTTGTTTTGTTTTTTATTAAATTTTTTTAAGAAAAAATGTCAAATGCTGTCCAGCTGTTATATCACACTAACTGAGCATCTTTGGCTTTTGGACTGTTGGTGAGAAAGAACAGAACATCTGGAGATGTCACATTGGCCTTGAGGAAACTATAATGGACTTTTTTTTTTTTGTTACATTTTATGAACAGTTGATAAACGATATTGGCAGATGAATCCGTAACGAAGATAATCGTTAGTTAGAGCACAAAATGCATCAGTGTTAAATGCGGATCAAACACCAACATCTGTATGAGATTTCTGGCTAAAGAAAAGGCTGCTTTAATCAGAAGCTGTGGAATCGGGTCTGAGATTTGGTGTAGTTCAGTCACGAATGTGAAAGTGCTGTTTGTGGTTGACACTCAGTCCTTACTGACTAATCCCATCATTAGATTACAGATGTAAACTCTGAGTCTGCGTAGTCCCTGCAGCTATCAGTGTCTGAGCTCAGTTGTGATTGAATGTACAGTATCTGAGAAGCCTGTATTGTAAAATGATGTCTGCTGTTGTGTTGTGAGAAAGAAAAAGAAAGTGTGTTTCTGCTCCTGCTGCAGATCAGTGACCTCAGTCTGGATTTAGAAAGTGGCTTCAGGGACTGTGAGAGGTTAAAGGGGAGAAGGCCAGACCCTGTGACCGGCTGCCTGCTGTGGTCGCCCCGAGCCTGAGGGGGTACGGGGGAGGACGGTTGTGATGATTAATCTGTTAATAC